GTCAATGTCATGAGGTTAGGGTTTAAAGAAGCTGAAACTCAACCCAGATCTGCCTGACTACAAAACCCTTGGTTTTGTGTTTTCAGTGTTTGAGTTGTGCTGTCATGGTTTATTCAGTCTGTTCTATTGATTGATTGAGGAATTACATGAGTAACACCCCTGCCCCATCACAGAGAGTTCCCAGGCTCACACTGACATGGACCAGTGAATGGTTAGACCATGATAAACCACAACATGATGTGATAAATACTATGATAGTAGGGTTGAGACATCTAGCAAGAGGCATCTGCTACTTCCTAGCTATGGAACCTTGGGCAAGTTGTTTTCTTCTCTGAGCTTCTTTGTCCTGCCCTGGTAAAAGTGAATGGAGTAAAAGGATCTACCTCACAGATGATCGTATGGAATAAAAGAGTTGATTCATGTAAAGGTCTTGGAGCAGTGCAAGGAACAAAGTCAGGGCTCCCACAATATTAGTTGTTATTATTATCCACAAAGTGCGATATCCTGTGAGAATTGGTACTGTCAGACAGGAGACAGGCTTTGATGCATGAGATGTTGCTAGGTAAGGAGGCAAATGTTGGACATTTAAAGTGGAAGGATCTGTGAACAAAGGCCTTCATTTATTCAACAAATTTATTGAGCATATACTGCCTGCCAAGCACCCAGCTCATTGTTAGTTCAGAATAGATAGCATACTATGAAAGTATATGGAATGTTCTAGATCCTGACTTCAAAAAAGAAATGATCCTAGGAAAATGGCCACAAGGAATTATCTGTGAGAGCCATTATGGATGTGACAAACCTAGAATTGTCTCAAGAAGATATCAAAGTAATTTCTTCACCAAGCCCTTTAAAAATTCTTCATTCAAGCGACTGTTTCAGCACACCCTAGTGCACTGAGGGGTCTTCTCCCACACACTTTTTACACCTACCTGTATCTACGTGCTACAAAATATATCACTGTCCTTCATTTCCCAGGATGACACTGCTGACTCTTCATATATCTCGATGAAGGATTATTCAGTTATAGAGAACATTCCTCAACTGGAGATGGCTTGAGAAGGGATAAAGAAAAAGTGTTAAGGCATATTAAAAATTGGCTTTCTCCTGGTGGCAGTTTGTCATTTTTCAATTTGGCATCTTTCCCTGTTCTTTTTTCTGCCACGTAGATCTGTATGAGTCTTGATTCAGAGGGGATTTTCTTGCGAGGTGCCTTTCTCTGAGCATATGGATAAAATTGCCAGGTTTAATTGAAGGCAGTTTAGAGTCTTGCTCTATTTACAGTCAAAAGCAGATCACTTCTGTTGTTGGCCTCAGTCCTAGACTCCCAGGAAATTAATAGTGCCTCCTGGCGTGTGACAGTCTGTGTTTACTCCCTGGAGTGGGTCCTGGCTCTGACAGGCCTTGGGTGTCGAGGTATCCTGTGACCTGGAGCAAACTCCACCTGAAGCCATTCTGGTACCCTCAGGCCACCATCATCTGACCATCCCATCATCTCTGATGCCACTCTCAAGAGTCTGTGGTCTGTGCCTTGCTATGATTTCTGGCTTAGAGTAAGGGATCAAAACTGCTCAACCTAGAAAGAACTTTGTTTACTTAAAAAAAAAATTAACAAGCACATTTGTAGCACTTAGTGTATTAAGCACTGTACACATTTTACAGATGAGGAAACTGAGGCATACCAATTAAGAAAGTTGTCACATAGCTGATAACTGGCAAAGCCAGGAAACTAGCTCAGGTGGTCTAGTTCACTGTCTGTACTCATAACCCCCACTGTGCTGTGTTACAGTTCTTAAAGGGTACCTAGTCCGTCCTCTTATTTTGTTGAGTTATTGTATAAAACACACTTAACACACAGTAAGAGCAATATATGTGCTAACTCTTGTCGTTAGTGTATTTAATAAATGGTAAAAGCTGAGGCCAGAGAAGTGATGCAGGTTCATACACTTAGTCTGGGATTTCCCAAACTGTATTCTGTGGAATGCTAGTAGCCAAAAGGATGTAATAAGTATTATATTTTATTTTTAGAAAAAGAATAATGATCAAATAGGTTTGGGAAATGTTGGTTAAAAAAAACTTGTATACTGTAGTACTTCTCAAAGCCCTTAATATGCTAATGTGCATTATTACTCTCCAAAAGGTAGCCATGGTATACAGGGTTTTCTAGACTTAGTAGACCATTGTATAGAAAACGGTTAACATAGCAAACCTGAGACTGATTTTCTTAGAAGGTCCTGCCTGCAAGGTTGGCCCTTGCTGGTGTCTGGAAACTTGGGTTTTAGGAGAGTTCCCACCACTCCCTGTTCAGAATGGCTCATGTACCTAAATTGTTCATACAAATAATGTCATTTATGCTGAACACCTGCTTTCCTTCTGGGAGTCTGGAATTTTGGTACCTGCTACGCAGCAGATGCCTATGTGACCAGCCCCTGATAAAAACTCTGGGCAGTGAGTCTCTAATGAGCTTCCCTGGTAGACAGCATTTCACACATGTTGTCACCACTCTTTGCTGGAGAAGTTAAACGCATCCTGTGTACTCCATTGGGAGAGGAGGCTTAGAAGCTTGTGCCTGGTTTCTTCTGGATTTCACCCCATGTGCCTTTCCCTTCACTGAGCTTGCTCTGTATCCTTTTGCTGTAATAATAATCTTATCCGGGAGTGCAACTATGTGCTGTGACCTGTTGGTTCTCCTAGTAAATCACCAAACCTGGGGAAGGTCTTAGGGACTTCCATCACAATCAGAAAATCCTTTTCCTCACAATGCCTTTTAACATCTCATGGTCACTGGGGCTCTGCAGTAGACAGTGTGGGTTCTGCAGAAGACTGTTGAGCTGTTCAATTCCAAAAGTCAGAGGCAGAGATCACCCCACATCACCACTCTGGGCTTCTTGGTGAGAAATGTTAGTGTTCCTGGGGCCCATGTGGAGGTCATTATCAAGTAATGATTTTCTTCCTGTCTGCGACACATAGATTAATATACCATGACAGAGTGGAACTGACTGGTACAATTTCATTATTCTTTTGGAACAATTGGGTGAGAAGGGTGAGGATGGAACTGATAGCCTCACCGTAGAGCCATCTTTTATATTCTTCCATTTTTAGACTTAGCTCTTTAGCCCAGGATAAAATTATTTACATAAATGTACATAAAATTATATTAGCATTTTTATGAAAATAAATTAAACTGCATATGTATGTATGAAATTTTTAATATATCTAGTTAGCCCTACTAAAGGGACTTTATGGCTTTTTGAGCCTCGTGACTGAGGCTGTGACTTTTCTGTTAGTAAGTATGATTTCCCTGAGTTTGTTTTACGGAATAAACAGATGCACCAGGGGTCTCCTGGGAGCAGGTAGGCTGCTATGGTACATGAATAACCAAATGGAGAGGGTGATCAGCCCCAGCGTGTGTTCCTCCAAGCACCTCTTCTGGTCCTCCTCCTCCTGCATTCTTCGTGGCTGACTTGTCTTCCTCCTGTGTTTTTCACAGCTGCCAAAAGTTATATTTGCATATCCTCTACGATGGGTGGGGAACTGTGCTTCCTGAAATCCAGTCTGCTCCAGTTTGCTTCCCTACATTATATGTCTAGACCAGCCTATGCTGTTTCCTTTGACCTTGTTCTTTGACCTGTTTCCACATAATGGACAGTCTTACACCAAAAACCCACCAGTTTCTAGTTGGTTTGGCTGGCTCCTTGCCAAGCTGACTGGTGCACAATTTCTCTAAACGCTTTGTCCTCCTCACTGTCTCAGTACCGCATGCTTATGCTGCATCGAGCCTCCATTTGTGTGACTCTTCTATCCTCTTTGCTCTTTTCACCCTCTCTGCATCCCAGCTCACGTCTCACTCTCTCCTCCATGAAGCTGACCGTCTCCATTGTACTCCTAGGGACCTCCCTGGACCTTGAATTTTTACCAATCTCTTTCTCTGTAGCATACACCTTAGAACTTATTTTATTCACGCCTACATCCAACACACACTGATTGAGCTTCTACTAGGAGCCACTCAGGGCACTAGAAAATAAGGCTATAAAAAAGAATGAAACTAAGTCCCTGCCCCCAAGGAGCTCATTGTCTAGTTGAACTGCTACACACCATGTTACACTCTTCTTTTTCACATGCTGGTGCTGATTCTTTTCTGAATGTCTAAACTCCCTGAGAGCAATGAACTTCTCTTAGGTTTTTTACATTTTTCAGAGTGATGAATGTTCAGTAGTAAACAGTGGTTAAGAACTTAGGAAAAGATCTGGTTCCCATTCCATTTCTACAGTTTCTGAGCCACATTAGCCTCTATTTGCTCATCTGGAAACTGGGAATAGTCCTGTCTACTTCTTACAAGGTTGTAGGGGAGACTTCGATAATATTTATAAGTGCCTAGCACTGGGCCAAGCCTGTATGAATCACTTAAGTAAATGGAAGCGATAATTCTTACTAAGCAGGCCTATGACACAGAGTTTGTAATATTTTTTCCTAGAACTTGGGCCTCAGGGAAGTACTGGGAGATTTTTCCTCGTGGGCAAGATCCTGGCATTATATTGTCAGGCATTATATTGTCAGAATTTTTTTTAATATGACAAAATTAGGCTGTGAAGGCGGAAGGGAAACAGAGAGCAATGGAAATTTCCACTTGAAGGACTTTATCTTCCATGGGCCACCTTGCTCAAGGTGAGGAGAGCACAAGACCTTCCCACATTAGGTCCAACCTGAGCAGGATGGGAGGAGTTAAAAGAGAAAGCAATTGTGAGTCAGAAAGTCAACAATGCATGTAAAGACCTGCCAATCTTCCTCTGCACAAGGACGTGGATTTCCACATCCATTTTTGGTATGAAGGTTGCTATCCCCAGCTTGCTTCATTTCCTGACAGTCGCTCAAGGCAGAATGGAGTCTAGAAAGAAGGAAAGAATTTCCATGTAATGACCAAATACTATGGGCCAGGTGCCATATATACATTCTCTTCACAACATCCCTGCCAAGAAGGTGTTCTTATTTCTCTTTTACAGATTGAAAAACTGAGGCTTAAAGAGATTAAGTAGCTTGACCAAGTTGCACAGCTAACCCAACACAGATCTGAAGACTTTGCCCTTTACATTAAATGCTCTTTAGGAAATCAAGTCCATGGAAGTCCTGGCCTTGTCTGGCCCGATCTGTCTGCATTTCCTCTTCTACACAGCCTGCTCCCACTCCACCCAAGGGGTCTATTGTAGAGATGACAACTTTGCAGCAAGCTTGCAACTCCATCGCACTGATACCCCTCCTCAGGGCCAGGACTAGGGTGAGGTAAGTGAGGTGCCTGGTGCAAAACAAGGAGGCACTCGCTCCTGGATTCCTGTATGTGCCGACCGATGATTTTGCTGACCCGAATCCCAGCCCTGCCCCTCCTGCTGATTGTCCTGGGGTATAGCTGCTGGGATTCACCAAGACCTCCATCGCCATGATAACCAGACTGGCCCTGAGACTGGCTGGCTGACTGTTTGAGATCCCCACTGTTCTCAGATTTCCTGTTGCCATTTCTGTAGACATCCTGCCCCCAAAACTATTTTCTGCCCCCCAAAGCTACCTTCCATGATTTCTTTCCACCTGACTTTCACTCCAAAACCATAATATAGCCACACAAGCAGGAAGAGGCCGTAGAGATCCCCCACCAGGGCTGGAAAATTGGTTTCAACCCAAACGTTAACTCTGTTCTGTTGGAAGTAGCTGAGTCGAGGACTGTAAGGCCAGGCCGTAGCAGAAAGCATGGATCTGTGACTGAGCAGGGTCCACCTCGAGCACACAATGTGGACGGTTGTGCTTGCCATGGTTGAAACCCAGGCCCACCCTTCTCATCTTACAGAAGAGGAAACAGACCATGAAAGGGGTAATTACTTCCCTCAGCTCAAGTAGCTAGCTAACGCAAATCAGGGCTAGAAACCATATCTCCTAGCACGTTTTCTACACGGAGTCAGGGAAATGGAGCCCACTGGATACATTCTTCTCCTGCATGACCACCACAGCTACCACCAACTCATTAAAGAGGCAGGCATGATTCGTGCTATAGCTGTGCCCAGTCTTGCTCTCTTTCAAAAGCTTGTTCCTGTAATTGAGTACCAGCAGTGTGGTTCTGGGGCCACCTACCTCAGAATCATCTAGAGTTTTGATTCAAAATGCTGTCTTGGAACATTCCCTAGTTCTTCTGATTCAGAAGGTGATTTGGTCACTAATGTTTAAGAACTACTAATGGGGAGTTGGGGCTGTTTATGTCAGTGATTCTTAGTTTCTGGGCTTCTCTTTTTCTTTCCTCTGGGGCTTTAAGTCAGTACCTCCCGCATCATCTTGTATTTCTAGTTCTCAGTGAAACTCAGCGAGAAGTGAAGATCATTCTACTCTTCATCAGACTGTGATTTGCCCAGGATAGAAATGGGGAAAGGGAGTTCTCAGAATAGGAGACATTCAGTTTTCTCTTGTGGATCATGATAGAGTTATATAAAAAGATCTCTCATTTACCTACTGGTGTGTTTTCAATAAAAATCTATTGTCAAAGATGGTGAAACGCTCTTAAGATCTTCATTTTCAGCCATAGGCAAAATATTTCCAAATGCGTGTCAGTATTTTCTTAAAATTCCTTTATGAGAATTTGGTTTAGTGCTGAAAGCAAAGGATATATACGAGTGGGCATAGGTAGTATCTGCAAATATGCGTCTCTGGCACACACAGTTTTTCAGAAAATTTGAATTGGTTGCTAAGATTTAAGGATCAGAAGAGATCGCATTTTTAAATATAAACTTGCATCTTCTATTTTAAAAACTCAAACTGTTTCAGACTGGCCCACAGCCCACAATGCAACAACCTGGTACCTAGTATCTGCTCTCTGAAACAGACTTGTGGCACATTAAAGATGTTTGTAAATTCTTTAGCACTCATCTTATTGAGAGGTGGGGTCAGGTATCCTCCCCTTGAAGTCTTAGTGACTTCTCTGGCCCGTAAAATATGGCAGAGGTGATGCTATGCCAGTTTCGGGACCCAGGCCTTAAACTGGCAGCATCTACTTCCTGACTCTTAGGACACTTGCTCAGGGAAATAAACCACCATGTAAGAAGTGCAGCTACTCTGAGACCACCATGCTGTGAAAAGCCCATCACATGAAACGGTCCTAGAAGAAGAGATACCAGGTGGAGAAAGACCGAAGGTCAAGGAGCACCCAGGTACCAGACACATGACTGAGGAAGCCATCTTGGAAGTGGATCCTCCATCCCCATGAGGGGACATCACATAGATCAGAGATGAACCATCCAGCTGAGCTCTTCATGAATTCCTAAACCACAAAAGCATAAGCAAAATAAAATGATTGCTTTAAGCTGAAAATTTGGAGTCGATGCCTGAAGCAAGAGCATGTGCTTCCCGTTTGCTCTATTCTGACCCCCTTCTTTCCCCTGGCTTTGTTACTCAAATTATTTACATCCTGGCTCCTGTAAAAATTTGGGTTCACAATCTTTATTTAAACCGTGGTCTATAGATTCTTGAATTATGTAAACCTTTGGGAATTAATATATTAAAAATAGAATTTTTTATATATATGACAAAATTAGGTTGTGAGGGGAGAAAGGAAACAAAGCAATGGAAATTTCCACTTGAAGTACTTTATCTTCCATGGGCCACCTTGTTCAAGGTGAAGAGAGCACAAGATCAGGAGTGGTCAGCTCTTTCTGAGAGTCGGCAGCCTTATCTATAAAAGCAGGTCCCATTCATCTTTGACATTCGATGAGTCTATGAGTAAGATAGCTCAGCTTTTGTATTATTTACAGTATTTTGAGTGTGTATTCATGTATCTGGTGTTATAAAGTGTATTTATTCCATGGCAGTCCAGCCTGTGGGGCAAAGGAAATGTCTAATTCTTTGTGAAAGCCTGTGCCTTTCTCATCTTGTACCTCCAGCTCTCAGTAAATATTTGTTGAATAAATGAATGAACAAATGAATGTGTGTTAGTCACCGAGACTACAAAGACAAATGAGGCTCAATCTTTGCCCTCGAGGAGCTCACAGTCTATGGAACACAGGCAGCAAATTAAATGCCAGTTACGCCTCCTGGGTAGCACATTCTTTTATTCAGAAACACCGTTTCATCTGTGTCTAGTCATTGTTCACACCCATACCCAGAAGAAATAACAAGCTACATGAAAACATGCCTTGGAGGAGCCCAGAATGGGGCGGGGGTCTGCAACCCACCTACCCAGAAGAGGCAACCTCCCCCTGCGGAGGTTTAGTGCATGAGAAGGAGGAAGGGGCACACATCCCATCAGAGCTGTGGGAGGCAAGGCACGCTTACTCAGAAGCACCCTCAGGGACCCATCAGAAGAGCAAGAACAGAATCACTGACGCATCATTCCATCAGGCTGTGCTTGAACAGACTGCAGAAACAGCAGTGAGGCCGCTCAATCAACATCACTCCTCAAAGCAGCGGCTAGGGCTGAGAGGTTCAGGGCAAACACCAGAGTTTTGTTTTGTTTTTTAAAAGAGACGTGAGGAAAGCCCTGATTTTAAATCAGCCTGTCCCATACGGGCTTTTAACGAATTATCTTTTTACCTCCCCAGGTATGTTTGGCAAAGTGTCAGCTTGTGCATTTTCTCCCTCTGTCGGTTTTTTTTTTTCTTAAATAATTGAGGACTTTGTGAAGCCGGACAGAGGGGAAGCAAAGACTTTTGTTTAATCTTAAAGATAAGTGTCTTCTTGTTCTTTATTCTCCCAGTGATACTGAGTGTCAGGGTCAATATATTGATATGATCAACGTTGTACAGATTGTTGATTAAAATGCTTTCGGGTTTCGAAAGATTTCTTTTTGCTTATGTTAAATAGCAAGACCATAGGGATGTCAGGAAGTTGTTAGGGAGCAATGCTGGGCTGTTTTGTCAATTTCCAAGCAGCAGAGCTGTGTTCCAGCCCAGGGAGGCCAAGCTCCACAGGTGGAAATGACTTTCTGTTTACCAAGTAAGGAAATACTCAACCAGTGGTTAATTTGCTTTGTTCCTTCAACAGACTCAGAGCTCCTTGAAGTAGAAATCCTCTAAGAAAAGTTAAAAGCAACAACAGCAACCAAACTTCTCTTTTCCTCACAATTTAAAACTTTGTCAGCATCTTAACATTCGGAAGAGAAAATGTCATCTTTATAAGGGTCATTTTCTTCTTTAGAAATTAGCCTTTTCATCATTTCAACATTGGAATCCAAAGTAAACATAAACTCACTGTCTTGGTAATTAGGTAAAATTATAAAAATAAAAGGTATTATTAAAACTAACCCTCAGCTGCAGAAACTGTCAATAGTAAGCGGTGATTAGCTTGCATGTAATATGGCACTGACTGTGCGCTTCATCCAATTCTGGCTGAAGACATCCGCTTTCCCAGGGGGAGGAACTTATATCTTCATGAAAACATAACTTACTTGCTAATTTTTGTTTCTATCCTTTTAAGTTTTGCCACCTGTCTTTGATCTAGATTACTTGCGCATTGCTCTTAGCTGTTAGCAGTGGTTCCTGTGTGGTCCACTACCCCTGGTGATCTCAGGGTATTTCAGTCTAGACTCTCACGGCCTTAGACTCCTGTCTTTAGGTAGGCATTATGTTATGAAGTGAATAAAAGTTTTATTGCCTAACCTGCAGAAAGTGACATAAGGTTAAAGAAAGCATGTCAAGACAGCATGCTTGGGCTCCCTGCTTCCAAGCGGTCTGAATTCACTCAATACCTTGGGACCCAGAGCATGGAAGAGACACTGGAGTATAAAAGCAGAACTGGCATGTGACATGGATTGCTGGTCCCAATCCAGCAATTACTAGGGACCCTCTTGGTTGCATAATCTTGTCCTTTAATATAAAATGAGGACTACATGGATAAAATTCCTGAAGCGTAAGGCTCTTTCTTCCTCAATTCACAAAGCCTATTCTATAATCATAAAAATCATAGGCCCAAAAGGAACTTTGAAAGATTGTATGGCCCATGCTCCTGACTTCAGGTAAAACAATGCATAACCTATCCGTAAAAGATAACAATGTGCCTGTTTTTAAGCTCTGAAGAAAATGATAGTAGCCGGCTTTCTTTGGTAACCTATTCTGATGTTTAAATACTTTCCCCAAAAGGATAATCTTGGAGTCACACAAAGCTGGATTCAAATGTCTTTGCTATCACTCTGGCTACGTGATTGTCAGCAGATTACTGATCCTGCCACATCTTAACTAATTTGTAATGTGCGAATAAACAGCAGCCGACTTACATCACTAGGTGGTTTTCAGGAGTGAAGAGAGACGTGGGAAGCACTTGGCACAAAGAAGACATGTTATTTGTCTTCTCCTCTTTACCTAACCTGATACCCTCCTATTGCATTCTTAGTGTTCTCCAGGTCACTGCGGAGGGGCAGTATCAAATGTCTAATCATTCTGTAAGGTGGTAGATAGCATGATGTAACTGGAAGACTCGGCACAAACTTCAAAGGGAAGCTGGCTTGACACCTTCAGAATAGCAAGATAAAGTGAGAAAGCATTCAGTATATCACACTGTATTAGCTTACTAGGACTGCCTGAACAGGATACCGAAAACAGGGTAGCTTAGAACAACAGAAATGTATCGTCTCACAGTGGCGGATAGCAGAAGCCCGAGATCAAGGTGTTGACGGGGCCATGTTCCATGTGAAGGCACTAGGGGATGGTCTGTTCCAGGCCTCTCTCCAGCTTCTGGTAGTTTCTTGTATGGCACCATAACTGCAGTCTTCACATGGCATTCACCCCCGAGTGTGTTTGTGCCCACTTTTTCCCTTTTTATAAGGATACTAGGCACATTGGATTTTGGGCCCAGGCTACTCCAATTTGACTTCATCTTACATCTTATAGATGTAATTACATGTATAACACCAAATGAGGTCACATTCTGACTTGCTAGGAATTAGAACTTCAATATATGAAGTTTGGGGGGATGTATTTCAACCCATAATACACTAAGTTGAGAGATAGTTAGTTGTTCCTGAAAACCTTTTTCCACATACTCTTTGACATTATTTTTGGGACTTAGGACAATAGCGGTTTGTGGCCAGCCCCCCAAATAGTACAGGAAGACAATTCCTTGGAAAACCAACCTCAAACCCCTTGTATGTTAGGAAAGTGGGAAAACATGGCCATAGTGAAGCGCCCTAAAGTCACATGCACAAATGGAAGAGGAGGGAAAGCCTGGACACAAATAGACAAGACAATAGGGGTCCTAGGTGAGCCACATCAGGAATGTTATGTGGTTGGTAAAGGGCCTTTGAGGCAGTGGCTGTGCGCTCCTGTTAGATCTGGGAAGTTTCTCTTCTAACCACTGCTGTGCCTTCATCAGGGCTGGGAAGCTGTGACCCTACGACTGTGACGTGATGCAAAGGCCTTCAATAGTCCACAGGAGGAAATATTGTAAAAAGAGAGCAAGATTCAAAAACTCGCCCCCATGAGAAGAATAAAGTTAATTGAGATTCTCAACACCACATTTTTTGGAAGTTGGGATTAGCTGAAGAAATTTTAGAATAATTTTCAAACATATGAAAGGCTACATTTTGTCATTTCAAAGCAAGAGAGAATTGAGAGGAGGCTTGAATTATGAAAGATATGACTCAAATTAGATTTGAGAAGAACTTAAGAATAATCTATTTTAAAAAAAACAAATTGTGGTATCTTCCCTAAATAAAAAAAAAAAGAAAGAAATTGTGGTATCTTCCCTACATATCTTAAATAAAAGTGCGGCATCTGTCTACTATAAAATGAGCACAGTCATTCTTGAATATCAAAGAGCTGGGCTTTATCCTTCCATCATTTTTTCATGCACCAAAGAGATATTGTGTGCATAGCCTATGCTAGGTGCAGTGCTGGTGGATAGGGTCGTAGGGATGACAGACACAGGCCAGGTCCTCAAAGGGCTCGACTCATGCCTCATGCTCAATATCTAGCTGTTGAATAAATACATAAATGGAGATATATAAACACATAAATTCTAATGCAGTGACATAGTACTAATAGCTGCCCCATACTGTGTTTATATTTCTAATTATGGGTAAAGTAATTAGAGAGTGCTTTGCAGAAGAGGTGGCATTTGTGAAACAATCTTGAAAGATGATGATTGTTTGTGGGGTGGGCATGAAGGGATGGGACACACACACAAAGGCATGGTGCTGGGCTATTTGGACCCTGAGTCCAGGGTGGTTGGAGTGGAGGTTATATGGTAGAGGTTGAGAAGGCCAGTGATCAGAGAGGAGACAGGAGGAGAATGAAGTACATAAAGCCCAGTTCTTTAGAGGGTCTCGTGAGCAACTAGTGACTCTCATGCTTTATTTACTCTAAGTCAAGTCTTACGGTATTTAATGCTCTCCTGATATGTCCTGAAAATAAGGCACTCCTTTTGTCCTTCACTTGTAAATTGGTTAAACAAAAGAATCATGGCTTGTTCATATTCTAAAAGATAGGGGTGGGTGTGGTAATTCTTCAGCTGGGGAATCTTCGACATCAACGTGAGGTATTTGTGAACATCCTTTCTCTTTCAGTAGCAACAGACTTGGGATCATGTTCAGAAAGCTGAACAAGCTTGGTCTTAGCTTCTTGCCAGAGAGTGGTGGGACTTCATGTAGGTGGCAGATGAGAAGAAAGCACAAGGTGGCTGGGATCTTTGATGAGGTTAGAGCCACAGAGCACAGCAAACTTGCCATTGAGTTCTTACCAACTTATTTTGTTGTATAAAAATCCCATCTTTGCACAGCTTGGAAGGAGGGGCTTAGAGCTGAAGTGAATCACCTCAGAGAAGCCCTCCACGCATAACTAGCTGTTGAGTGTCTTCTACTTTTCAGACACTGTGCTAATGCTGGAAGGCAAATACCATACATTCCCTGCCAGCAAGAATTCCAGGTTTTCCTGGCGAGACAGGCATTTCCTTGGCAAGACAGATGACTAAGCAGTCACAACACAACATGAGATAAATAACAAGATAGGCAGAGGGTGCCATGGACACTAGAAGGGGTCCTTAACTCCCCATGGAAGTGGGAAGGTGAGAGGTCAGGGAGCAGGGGACTCCAGAACTGAAACTGATCAGGGCAGAGTATTCCAGGCATGGCAGCAGGATTCAAGAAATGACTTTCTCTTGTGGCTGGAGTTTGAGGTTTGTGGTGGGGGGCATCATGAAGGCTGAGACTGAAGTGTAGATAGAAGTGGGTGGTGCTGAGGGACTGAAATGTCAGCAGTATACCCTCCAAACCTTACAGGAGCTGACCCTGCAGCAGAGGACCCAGACTCATTTGGCTGTAAGCCAAGGTCCCACCCCTTCTGCACACACATACACAAGCAATCACCCAAGGGCACTTTCCTACCATTGCAATGGTTATGTTGAGAAAACCAGGGAAGAGCTCAATTGTAATGAGTAATTAGTGTTGTGACTAAATAAATGAACGCCACCTGTGCATCCTGTTTGGGGAAATGAGTCAAATTAGGGAAACAAGTTGCATAATCACGGCAAATGCCAATCTCAGCCATTGCAGCTATGCTGGTCATTTCTAGTTTTAATGAGTGACTTCGTGATCAGTGTTCATTCAGATGAATAAAGAGGAATTTTAGGTTTATGTTTTATTTTCAATCACATATGTAATATGTGATCACTGCCATAAAAGTAGTTGTGCAAAAAAGAAAAAGATTACACTTAGTCTAAACCCCCCATGCAGAAATGGCTGTGAACATTTTGGTACATATCCTTCCAGACTTTCATAAGTATGTATATTTACAAAAACTGATTATTTTCTTATTCTGTTCTGTTAGTTTGCATTTGATTTTCTAAGTTTTTTTGTTTCCTTTGTTCCCTCTTTTTCTAAAGGGACAAGGGCTAATTTTGCTATGTGATCTGAATTTTTCTTTGATTTCTTCCCCTTTCTCCATTCTACTCCAAGAATTTGGAAGATATGGTACTTGTTTTAAGTTCCTCTGATAGTTACCATGAAATTTTTAAATAATATTGACACATGTTTAAAACCTATGATCTAAATCTATGTATCTCAAATTATTAGCATCAAGAATGAAACAATATCTATTGACTCATCGCTATGTAAACATGAAGAATGACCACGCTTTCCTTCCTCCCACTCCCCACACACACCACCACTCCCTCCCAGTTTTTATTATTCTACTTTGACATTTTTGTCCCAGTCTGTAATAGTTAAATTGTGGGTTCTTGTATAATGGGACTTCTTGTTTCATGAATATCCTTTACATTCTTCTTAGAAACAATGCTGTTTAACAATATTTGCATTCCTCAATTTCCATATTGTTGGTTAATCTCAGTTACGATAGAGAACATCTATTTTCTAGAGCCCTTTCTCAGCTGAAAATGTCTTCTGATTGACTTCACTTATTACCGGCAGCTTGAGCAGATAATAGAATTTGAGAATCATAGCATAACCATTCTCCCTGAAAACCGCATAGACAAAGTCCACTGGCATCTTTTTCTTTTATATCGGATCTATTTCTTTTTCCTGGGTTTTGGGAAGATTCTTTTTTACAGACTTAATATCCAGTGGATCTAAATGTTCATCATTTTCACAAAGTCTTCAAGAAAAACTTTTAAAATAGAGATTTTTTTTTTCGTTTCAGGGGAATTTTTCTTCAATATACAGAGGTTTTTTTTAATGCTTTTTGGTCAGGAAGATTGGCCCTGAGCTAACATCTGGCAACATCTTTTTTTTTTTTTCCTCCCCAAAGCCCCAGTGCATAGTTGTATATCCTACTTGTAGGTCCCTCTAGTTCTTCTATGTGGAATGCTTCTATATAATGGCTTGATTAGCAGCATGTGGGTCTGCACCCAAGATACAAACCCACAAATTCCAGGCCACTGAAGCAGAGTGCGCGAACTTAACTACTGTGCCACCAGGCCGGCCCCTCCATATACGTTTTTGAAATGGGTTCTGTTGTATTGGGACTGATTGCTTCCTCACTCTGGTTATGCATATGCTACATATGCTATGTCTGTGATTCTAATCCGTCTTTTCCTCTTTAATCATTTTCACTTGCCTATTTTATCCCTCTGAACTCTGCTTGGTTATCTCAAATTTGCACTCATCTTAATAGTTTCTAAACCAGATTAAATTTTAGAATCACTTCAAAGAATTTTTGTAAATACAGACATCTTAGCCTCACCCAAGACCCACTGAATCAAAATCTCCTATATTTTCCCTTAGGAATGTATATTTTAAATATCTCCCCCATATTTCTGGTGATTGTCTAGGTTTGGGAACCACTGTCATATTTCACTAATTCCATATAATTCAGGGCTGATTCTCCCCTTTACTGCTTTTCATGCAGTTTCAAATTCTGCAATGGAATTATTTGCTTTCTTGTATTCTTTTCATAAAACCCCTTTTTATCTCTGTTTGTTGCCTCATTACCTATCTTTTAGCAAGTTTGTGTTTTGAGTAATTGCCTTGAGAATATAAAGTAGTTACTCTCTTAAACTTTTGTCTTTCTCTTGCAGCAAATCTTTTCCAAAGTATACTATTCTTTTCTCTTTTAAATGTTATGTTTATTTCCTTGTGTTTATATTTATAATTTGTGTGAGGAACTGTTTTTATTCCTTCTTTGGGGCCTCTTTGATAACTCACTCTTCAATGGTGACTTCTCTGCATTCCCAGGCACTCTTAATTTGAGGACTATGTGATATGCATTTACATAATAAGTTGCGTCATTCAGCAGCCTAAAGAGCCAGTTTCATGGGTAGACCCAGCAGTGGAACTTTGCCGTACTCAGCATTTTTCACATGTCTGAGAATTCTTGTATCAAGACCATCTCTCCATATCTTGGGTACGCTTCACCCTGCCCACTGTTCCATGAACCTAGTGTGAAGTAAGTTGAATAGAACTTACGTGAGTTGGAGCAGTATCCTGTCTAGTTCCAAAATGTTTGTCATGTTTCTTTAGGAATGACCACATTGGTGACAATCATGTTAGAGAAAACTCCCCACCTTCACAGGAGGTCTCTGTGGTTGGGCCATGCGTATTTCTTCGCCACAAGGCATACTCCACATTGTCGCATATTAGTGAGTCCCTCTGCTTCCTGTAGACTGAGTTTGCCTTCAGATCTCAACCCTCATGGTAACAACCTCTCCCCTAGATGTCAGAGTAAGTCTGTAAGAAAGGCAAGTAACAGCCAAAAACTGGAATATTGGATAAGCCCAATATCCATTTGCAGTTGTGGTTAATAAATTGTGGTGTATTGTACAATGCAATGCAAACCCTAATATTCATATGCATAAGTATGGACAAATATTAGAAACAAAGTTGAACAAAAGAGTCAAACAGTCAGTTGAAAGACCCCGAACAACTGTGTTCCACTCTCAGGATGAGCACTTGTATGTCTTTCCTCACTTTGAGGCCGTCTCCATGGTATCAAATGCAGGTTTATAGATGTCTCGTTAAATGGCTTTGTTAGGCAACCTGGTTCAGCCATGAGGAGAGGCTTTTCCCTATTCCTGCTTCTCTTTGGATTTCTGAAAGCAGGAAGGTGGGAAGCTTGCTTTCACATGAGACTTTCCCCCAGAAACAGAGCAAGAATGGCTAGAGTTATTCACAAGGCAGTATTACTAGTAGTATGACCGTGAACAATGCAGAGCATCGTTCTCAGGCAGCACCTTGTCCATACGTTTTCTTCAGAGGTGGAGTTAGTGCTATTATGCTTACAGATGAAGACAGCGAGGCTCGACGAGCTGAAGTGACTTGTCCCTCTTGCTGCCAAAGACAGAAGCTCACTTCAGACAGAGTCCAAAGTGTGCCCACTCTCCACTACATCACAATGCCTGATGCTTCAAGTCCATGGTCAACTCAAGTTGAAAGGTACTTTCAATCATTCAACAAATATTGATAGAACACCTGTTATATGCTCAGTACGGGTGCTGAGGACACAGCAGTGACACACATATCTTTTCCCTGCTGTCGTGACACTTAAAATATAGAATGGGACATAGGCATTAAAGAAGGAATTGCACAGATAACTATTAAATGACAGTTGTGAAGAAGTTACTATGTGATAGTATCTAAGGGGGAACCCAGACTACAGGGTCAGGGAAAGGATTTCTTAAGGAAGGGACCAAAAATCTGAACCTGAGTTAATAAGCAAGTTAATCAGGCAAAGAAGCAGGGAGAACAGCAATACAGGAGAGGAGCAGCCTGTAGGAAGAGCCCAAAGGCTGGAAGGACTTGGTAAACTAAAGAAATTAGCATAAGGGCATAGCGAAGCAGGTGGATGGTGGCCAAAGATGAAGAGCAACACATCCTGCCAAGGTGTGTAAGCCATGAAGACCAGGATTTGGGTTTTATCCTAAAAGTAAGGGCCAGTCTCTGCAGGGTTTCAACAAGAGGGAGGCATGTTCATATCCATTGCTTTGTCTACTAAAAAAATGGTGAAGAGAGCAGACTGGCTTATTTCTGAGCCAAAATATAATTGGGAATAATTAATATATACTAATTACCTGTTACATTGTTATAGATTCACTTATATAATATCTGTAAGACTCTTTTTTTTTTTTTAAGATTTTATTTTTCCTTTTTCTCCCCAAAGCCCCCTGGTACATAGTTGTGTATTTTCACTTGTGGGTCCTTCTAATTGTGGCATGTGGGATGCCACCTCAGCGTGGCTTGATGAGCGGTGCCATGTCTGTGCCCAGGATCCAAACCGGTGAAACCCTGGGCCACTGAAGCAGAGTGTGCGAACTTAACCACTGGGCCACAGGGCCAGCCCCTGTAACACTCTAAATAGATGAAAATATGTCACTCTTAGTCTACATTTTGAAAACTGAAAGTTGATCTGGCAAACCTTAAAAGACATCCCTGGGGCCAGCCCAGTGGGACAACAGTTAAATTTGCATGTTCTGCTTTAGTGGCCCGGGATTCGCTAGTTCGGATCCCAGGTGCAGACCTACACACTGCCTGTCAAGCCATGCTGTGATAGGCATCCCGAATATAAAGTACAGGAAGATGGGCATGAATGTTAGCTCAGAGCCAGTCTTCCTCAGCAAAAAAAAGAGGAGGATTGGTGGCGGATGTTAGCTCAGGGCTAATCTTCCTCAAAAAATAATTAAATAAATAAATAAACTTTAAAGAAAAAGAAAAGACATCCCTGGCATTCACAACTTGTCAAGTTGAACAGTTTGTCTTCTGGATAAGAGATGTCAGAATCCCAATGCAACCTCCATGGATCTTGCCTCAGTCCACCCTTGCAAGTCAGACTTGCCTGCCCTCCTGCCAGCAAAAGGTTGGGGCCGTGAACCCTAAAGTCTGCTTAAGCTCTTCTAGGGACAAAGAAATATACCACATGGCAAAATGGATGGGCCTTTATTTTAAATCAATATTTTATTTTTATAGATTCTCATTCAGTGACTATAAAGGGCCCATTTAGTAGATCTTTTTTTAGTATCAGAAAATTAATTTCAATGCCACTTCACTTGATTGCCTGCCATTTTCCTCCCCCTACTTCCTCTGACATTTATCCATTGTTGTTTCATACGCTAGGAAATGACTGATTACTCTCCAGAGTAATGCCACCTGGGGTGATGAATGGTACCTATTTGTTGAGTACCAATGGCATGGAAGTACTATGTCAAATACTTGGAAATGGATGATGAAGACGAACAAGCCAGGTTTTCTGCCCTCAGGAGCCCTCCAGTCTTAGGAGATCAGAGGGTCACAGTCCACTGGGGTACAAGTGCTGCTGAGATGGCTAGCACGCTCTGCATTTTCAAAAGCAAGAAAGAAACCAGGAGAACTTTTGGTTACCTGGATCATTGGGAGTAAGGATTGTTTTTAGGAAGTTGTTTAAAAAAATATGTAGAAATCCCATGCTTCTGAGAGTTGGTTATATCAGAATTCTGGGCAGTCCGTTCATGTATTCCTTACATGATTCCTTTCACCGAGTCAATCTCTTGAAACAAATCCTCTCTGAACTAGCAGTCATCTTTGGGGATCGCTCATGTGTATGTTTGCAGGCCACTGCACGGTTCCTCTATGGAAGGGAGCAAATAGCTATTGTCTAGTTGTTTTCATCTTTGATTTACTTCATTGTAAACGTGATGTAAAGCTGGCTATGTTAAGTTAATTATACCTAAGCTTTGATTTTCTGCTGCTAAATGGAATCATGTAGAAGGCATCCCTCCCACCCCAGAGGAATGGAACATTTAACCACAGTAACCATTTTTACATTGGATGAAGCACCTTGCTCTCCTTTAGGACTTCATTGCCATAAAGTATCTGATTATTGGGGGAAACATGCACAGGTTCTGCAGAATTACATTGTGTTTGATGCTCAATGTAAACCCCCAGATGCCACAAAGTAGCAACTCCTTAGCAAGGGGAGCAGAGGGAGGGGGCGTGATCTCTACTAAATATAAATTCCAGTACAGATTTATAGATATTTAAACTCCTCCCTAATATTTGATACATTCCTAAATAGGCTGAAATAGTTCTTTTTCCCTCTGCTTGGTACCTGCCATTCTCCTGGAAATCTAAAGCAGCATAAATCATGCACTCAGTCATCAGAACAGAAGTAGAGTATGACCTGAAATATACTTTGGGTATTAAAATTCATAATCTTTCTCAAGCCACCCCCTAATCTGGGACCCTGAGTTTTGGGCCTCTTTTAGGAGGTGATATTTCACTACTTACCCCTCAGTTTATGGTAATTTTATGCTGATCCAGGTCCAGGGATAATTTCTCCCAAATTCTTTATGAGGAAAACTCAGTTGTCATTTGCATCTTAGATCCCTGCAATGGATTGGCAGGCATTAGAGAGTAAATCCATCCTCCAGCTATAATTCATTTAGGTCTCTCTCCAATTTGACACAGTGGAGCAGGGTGCTGTTATTGAGAACTTGAAGCACCAGGTGTGATTAAATAAGATCACGCATTTCATTCTCTCTTTAATTTCACGTCAGTCTTCAGCAGCTGAATCCACGCACTCCCCCCGTGGAGTCAGCCAGCACCGTGCATTTGTGGTGTGCCCAGCAGAACCGTGGCAAAATGTTTCCAAAGTAAGCCACCCTGCTGGACCATTGTGAGTCAAATCTGGTTTTGCCTCCAAATTATTCAGTATTGCTAGATCTGGTTTATTCATGCACTCATCTCTCTAGAGAGAAGACCTCTGGTACTTTTACATCATTGATGCTCAATTTCAACTAAAAGTAGTTTCAAAAGAGAGAAGACTAGAATCAAGGATAAAGCCACAGTTAGAAGTCTTCGCAGCCTTTCATCTCAACCCCTCTGCTTGTTTCTTCTGCGACTCCCTCACATCTCTCCCCACCCACCCCGATTCTCTGCTTCTAGAATTGGGAGTTGGAAATGGCATTGGTACATTTTATTTGCAAGCGTGTCCTGAGAAACTACATTTGTGGCATTCTTGATGCCATTATAAAATGAAATTGAGGTAAGGGGGCATTTCTCAGATTAGGGTTCAGTGTGCCTGACCCCTAATGTTTAGCTGTAGGCCGTTCAGGACAACAAGAATAAAGCAGCACCCCTGTATTGAGATGCAAGCAGTGGTCATGCGGTATAACCAGGGTGACAATAAGTGCCATTATGGATGCAGTCTCTGGAGAGAAGGAAGTAGCTGTCCCTTCCCAGCTGTGTGTACTCTTCCTTTGCCCCAGAAGACAATCACTATGACCAGTAATGGGTCAACTGTGTAGCATGGTGTGGGTGAATTCATCCTACAAATACAGATTGAGTGCCCGTGTGCCAGGTGCTGTCCTAGGCACTCCCTAGCAAACACCATCACTGCTCTGCCGAAGCTTATCCACTCTTCATGATCTGACCTCTGCGTACTTCTCTTTTCTCATCCATCACCCCCAGTGTGCTCTGTTACTGTCCAGTCCAGTAGAATAACTTGCAGTCCCATGACTGTCATGCTCTTCTTGCTTCCATTCATCCTGGTCCACATGCCTATAGAGCCTGGATCTCTTTCTACCTCTTTACCTCCCTACCTTCCAGCCAAACAACAGGACTCATTTCCTAGAAGTACCACCCCTGGCCTCGCCCCTCCTCTCAGCTAACTGAAATATGTCATCTTGTCTTTCATCCCTACTTTAACCTTTTCTAGGTGAGAGATTGTGTCTTATTTATTATGGTCCACATTCTGCTTGACACATAGTGGGCACTCAATAAATATTTGTTGAATTAATCATTTAATTTATATCCTTGAATAAGATCCATATGCACTCATTTACTCTCTATGTAATTTTTGTAAGACCCACAAGATAGCTCTTAAATAGAGAGTGGAAAGATTGTGACATTTGTAATGTTGGTCACCCTAATTGTAGTGAGAATTAACACCCCTGTGTACTTTCTTAGGAAAATCACGTCTTCTCCCTGGTCTGCTTTTTAATAAGAATGGAACCCCTTGGCAAAATTAGATTGGAACTGTTAGAAGTATTAGGTGGTTCTTTGTTGGAATCACTTCTGGAGAATTACCAAGCCTGTGCTTTCTTATTGAGTACAAATTAAAATTTATTTTAAAAATAAGAAGAAACAGATTTACAACTATAAAAAATAGACGTGTGTAGATATAAGTTTGAAGGTAATGCATAAAAATGAAAGAGCTTTATTTGGGTGATGAGATTAAAGGTATGTTTTTCTGTTTTCAAAATGTTCTTTAATATTTTTTAATTTATTTTTGATGGAAAAAATGTTA